GACCGTCGCGCGTCGCGCGTCGCGAGAATCTCTTGCTGCTCCACGGGCCAGTGCTACCCCGTTCACTGACGCCTTTCTTCCGTTAGCCGGTCGACCACCGTCGTTGCAGCTGCGCGATGACAACCGTTCGCCCCTTCCACCCACCCATCCAACCATCCATCCTTCCTTCCTTCCTTCCTTCCTACCGTCCACCCTTCCTCCTGGGATCGAGTCCCGACCACTATCGTCCAGTATGCTCCAGTATCGTCGATTCGGATCACCCATATTCGCACTTTACTCGCTCGCGGTTTATTTCTTACCTTTCTCGATTCTCGGTTACCTACCAACCACCGACACAAATTTCTATTTCGAATCGGAGGCTCAGGTTAGATTAGGTGAATCGGTAATTCACCCGAGTTGACGCGAGCATGTTCTTGTTTCGGAAGAGGCCGTCCAGTGGCCTCAGTCTACCTAAGTGTAGTCTAGTACTCTAGTTTCGAGGAGCGGATTGGTACATAAGTGGACCGCTGGAAAAGAGATTCGGAAGCGTTTCTAGGTGTTAAGTTACTACGTGTGCGATCTTAGGGAGACAGAGTTTCGGATACGGATTCGATCGTATACCTACAGAATATAGGTATTTACAGGTTAAACAACTCGGAATTTTCTGGTAATCGAACAACGTTCTGAACGATTTACTCGAGTGTTTTGCCGATAACGATGGGAAAGATTAAAACGAAGCGTTTGTTTTTATTCATAAATAGTTCAGTTTTGCGAGAAAGAGTACACATTCCGGTGACGCGAAAGTCTTTTCAAAAAATCGCAACGATGCTTTATCGTAGGGATAAAAGAGGGTAACGGAGGTTTGCGTATCGTATCGGAAAAAGTCATTTGGCTTCGTTAGACGTTGCTATAGGAAACGAGTATCGTCATCGGAATAAACGAGAGACATTTCGTTACGACTTCGACGCTTGAAATACTTATCGTTAGAGATCTCTGTTTTCTAGAATATACATATGTAGAAGATGTACACGCTCTAAAATATATTTGTCCGTAGATACTTAGTTTCCTATTCGCTTGGAATAGATACACCTCCGATAGACCTCCGATTGGCGTGTACTATGTACTCGACACTCGGACAAAATTCACCCTTCTCGCTGTGCTTTCTTCCAGTTTCGAAGTGGCGTGTAAAATTCAAGGGACAGAAGAGTTCTCGTCGGGCAGTAAAGGTTGGTTAGAAATAGATCCTCGGAAAACTTGGCTCTGGGCAACGACTGAAAAACCAAATTTTCTACCGTTATTTCCCGTATGTGAACTATCGTTTCGGTATTGCTACGAGGAAAATACGGATACCACGGATGTGCGCGATATTTCCGAATCGAAATCGTTCGTTAGAATCTTCGTGCAAAATTAAACGAGGAAATTGTTCGGCTTATCGTTCCGCGCGAGCTTTTGGTATTCGCGTCGCAGCGGAAAGCGGAAGCGAGGCGCCACGTTTATCTCGCGTCTAGTTCTCCACCGGTCACCCCGCCTTTTCCTCGGCTATATGTATGTATTTTTCGCGACAGCCGCTCGTCACGCTGGGAAATCGTACCTTCTCGCACTCTCTTCTTTGCGCGCCTGCGAATCAGAAAGTACACCGAGGCTGTTGCACCGATCACGATTAGCATCGTGATCCCAGCTACCGTACCACCTATCCTCGAGACCGAGTTGCTGCTACTTTCGTACACCGGATGACACGGTGATTCTTGAAAAAAGAGAAAAATTTGATATTTAGGATAACGAACGCTTTCCGCGGGGATAAGGACGATCGTAGAGGTTAAGGATTTTCCGGGATCGTGTTCGCTCGACATAAGTCTACGTACCTATTTCGACGAAGCAACCAATCGACGACGAACCATTGTCGGCAGGGACGACGAAGCATAAACTTCTGTTCCTTATTGCCGCGTTGCACCGACGACAGTACGGTGCATGCTGTCGAGCGTCCGCCAGAGTATCGTTCGTTTCGTTGTAAACGGTAAATCTGGGAACGACACGATATCAAGTTCGCACCTAAAGCGTTTCGCGTCGTCGTCCAGCGTAGAATCGATTCGCGATACTTACCGATCCAAGCTCGCGTCGTCGGAATCGAAAATTTCGAGACAAATTGCAGGCTGATCGCAGTTCGGTCCTGTCCAACCGTACGAACATCGACATGCGTTTTGCTCGTCCTCGCACACACCGTGACCGTTGCAATCGCTCGTGCACGATTTCACGCAGGTGCCGTTATCGCGAGACATATAGAATCCATCGTGACAACGACACTCGTTCGGTCCGAGGCAATCTCCGTTTTCGCAACCGTGTTCGCATCGCGGCACGCAAACGCTGTCGTTCGTCAAAACGTAACCTTCGAAACATCGGCACACGTTCGGCTCGATGCAGCTACCGTTGTCGCAGGACGAGCAGATCGGCTGGCAAACGATCGTTGGCGCGCGTCGCTGCGGATAGCCTTCGTTGCAAGTGCAGAAATCGCGAGCGGCGCAGGTACTGTTCGGAGTGCAATAGGTCTCGCAAATTTCCTCGCAATTGTACGCGACGTAGTTGTTCGTTGGTCGATAACCTGGATCACAGGTGCAAACGTTGGGCTCGGTACAAGTGCTGTTCGGTCCGCAGGATGTGTCGCAGACAGGCTCGCATACGTTCGAATCGTTGCTCGTCGATGGCCGATAACCTGGCTTGCACCGACAAACGTCTGGCTCGATGCATTTCCCGTTGATGCAATCCCGATTGCAGATCGGTTCGCAGGCCGACGCGTATTTCTTCGTGGCGTTGTCAGGTATCTAACAACGGGATTTAATATATCAATCGATCTTTTGCGGTTTATCGGTTTTATGCTCACCTGATTGTCGGTGGGGATCGGCTCGATCGGTCGATACCCGTCGTAACAAGCGCAAGTGTTTGGCGCGACACACGTTCCGTAAGGCTCGCAGGGAGTGACGCAAAAAGGTTCGCAAACGTGTTTCTCCTCTTCCGGACCGTTAAACCGATAACCCTGGTTGCAAAGGCAGAGCCCCGGGGCCGTGCACGTGCCGTTCACGCAAGCTTTTTCGCAGATCGGTTCGCACACGTATATCGAGGAGTTGAATAGGCCGTAACCGTCGTTGCAACTGCAGCTTTCGGGCGCGACGCATTCGCCCATTTGACAGGGTTCCGAGCAGATCGGTTCGCAGACGTTCCGTTCGTTCATTCGGTAACCAGGATCGCAGGTACAAGTGTTCGGGGCGGTGCAACTGCCGAAGGTACAACCTTGTTCGCATTTCGGAACGCAGCCGGTGCCGTCGACGTTCTCGTAGCCATGCTCGCAGGAGCAAACGTTCGGCGCGATGCATTTGCCGTTCACGCAAGCTGTCTCGCAGATCGGTTCGCAAAGAGAGTCGGGGAATGTTATGTCCGTTGCCGAGCGGTAACCCGAATCGCAGACGCAGCTATTCGGCGATTCGCAGTGTGCGTGGTTACTTTCCGTGCACAGCCCGTGGCAGATCGGTTCGCAGTACAAATTGTCGTGAGTTACTCGATAGCCATCGTTGCAACTGCACTTATCGGGTGCTTTGCAATAACCGTGCGTACAGTTCGTCGAGCATATAGGTGAACAAGAGTGGTCCACCGTTTCTTCGTAACCGTCGCAGCAACGCTTTACCGTTCGCCAGGTGGGGGTGAACTGAAAAATTGCCAGGTTTACACCGGAAAAATGATTTACGTTCGAAAACGTTTATACCCGTTTCATCGACATCGACGCATCGCAGCGATACCGATTCTTTATCGGGCACGTGGCTTCGAGACAATTTTAACAATATCGTTGTAATTTCAGCCAAGGGCGATACGACCGTGGACAAATAAAAAATTTTCCTTTTGCGTTGATCCAAGACGAAGGTCAATGTCTATAAAACGGTTTCGAATGATTTGTACTGCGTGTCTTACTACGATCTTATAGTTTTGCCGAGTCTTAATCGTATAGAAGATTCCCCACTTTCGACTCCTGTAGGTTTCCGTATACGGTACGTATCTTTGTTCCAATTGACTGAAAATAACACGGGCGTTCGAATTAATCCCGACTCGTATAAAATAGCGAAGCTAAAAAGGATAGCGAAAATTCACGAAAAGTAGTTAATCGCGTAAGAAAAGATATAAGGAGAGGTGATCGTTACCTGATATACGTATCGCAGTTCGACTGTTCGCTACTACCGATCGTTATCGTCGAAAGAATACCGTTTAGAAAAACGATGCAACCGACGATCGATCTCATGGTCGCGTTCTCTTTCTCGATGTTTGCGCTCGGACGATGACGTTGTTGTTCGCTCCGGAACGTTTCGACCGATGACTGAATTAGGCGCATCGTTTTGTTTAGATATCTGACCCCGCCAGTTCTGCTTTTCGCGTTATCCAATCTAGACAGGATGTTCGATATCATGAAAATATGAAGCATCTTTCCTGGGGATTCACCCAACGATACGTATTACGCGCACACGCGTAACTTATTTATTTGCTCGTTGAACGATGTATACTAGATATCAGATTTTCGGTGCACGGTGTACGGAGTTCCGCGATTGCTGGCTTAATTCGTACAGTCTTTCTTTACGTAAACTTTTCCCTACGTAACGCAACGAACCATTTCGTTCGTTTTATTCTTGTCGAGGTCGATAGGAGACCGTGTTTCTGGACACGGTAAATAATAATAAATATTTACCATGATAATATCATTTAATTACAGTTATATTCATATTTTTTTTCTTACATACGTATGTACTGCTAAATCGCGACATTCTATTAACGATTGTAGCATTCGTTACTGATAAAGGGTAAGAGTACGACGGAGATTAACGTCTATTCGTCTATTATAGACTATTCCGAAGAGTTTACAGTCCGCTTGTCGCTACTATCTACTTCATATTTTTCATACGTTGATACACACGTTCTAACGAAGCTTATATTCGCGATACTTATAGTCGCTAATCACGCAGCGAAAATCTTCGTTTGCTGCGTTTTCGTATTAGCAAATAAATCGCTGCAACGCTGGCCGTCGTAACGGTCATTATTCCTGCTGTTCCCATCGTAATAATATAATTTCTTGTCCTCGTATATTCCGCGGGTACCGTACGACAATTGAAACCTGCGAAAAGAACGATCGCGTCTTAAGATATAACTTACGTTCGAGTTACGCAAGGAACAGTTACCTGTGCTGATCAGACACGTGATCGTGTCGTTTCCCGCGTTATCGTCGCTATATGTTCTATAACACGAACTCTCGTTACCGATTTCGTCGAAACAGCTGTAGTTGCATAGCGGGCTGTTCGCAAGCACGTAATCGATCGTTTCGTTAGCACGGTGTACGATATTCGACCTACGAGAAAGAGAACGGGATCTATTTTATAAAGGTTTATAGATCTATTTTATCTATTTTATAAATTGCCGTGAGAGATCGATACTCACGCGTTCGAGTGGTCGATTCCGCGATCGACTGGTAGAATACAGAAAAGCGGTTCCTCGCAGTCCGTACCGTGCCAGCCGTAATAACAATCGCAAGTTCTGTCGGTAACGATGCAGGATCCGTGTCCGGAACAGTTTGTCGCGCAAGCGGCGACGCACTCCTCGTCGGCATCGTTTTCCAGCGTATTGACGACGATCTCTTTGAGAAAACCGGGCTCGCATCGGCAGTCGGCCGGTGCCACGCATTTCCCGTTCGAACATCGTTCGCAGAACGGTTCGCAGACGCTCCGATTCCCTATGTTCGTTAACGCGTAACCTTGCTCGCACTCGCAGCTTTCGGGCGCAACGCAGCTTCCGTTTTCGCAGCCGGTGCAGGAAGGTATGCAACTTCCATTGGCATCGTTTTCGTAACCCTCTAAACAGGTACACGTGTTCGGAGAGGTGCAGCTACCGTTTCCGCAGTCCAAGTCGCAGATGGCCTCACAGGCGAACGCGCTCGAAGTCGCGTTAGCGCAGGATTCCTCGATCGTCGTATCGCACACTGGCCGAATAGCCGGTAAACCGTAGCCTTCGTTGCAGGTGCACTCGTTCGGTGCACTGCAGTACGCGTTTATGCAGGCGTGCTCGCAGATCGGTTCGCAGACGTTGGAATCGTTGTTCGACGATTCGTACCCTGGCATGCATTCGCATTCGTTCGGCCTGGCACAGTAACCGTTCACGCAAGGTAGCTCGCAGTTCGGCTGACAGATATTCCAGACGGCGGTCGATAAGTAACCCGAGTTGCATCTGCAAATGTTCGGAGCAGCGCAATAACCGTTCACGCAAGGTTTCTCGCAAACGGGTTTGCAAGCAACGCTCGTGTCCAACGAGTAATCGTAGTCGAGAAAGAAATTTTCCGAACCGAGTTGATAGCCCGTGTTGCAGCTGCAATGGTTAGGCGCGTCGCAAGTGCCATTCCCGCAAGGAATTTCGCAAACGGGTACACAATGGTTCGAAGTTTCGTTCAGGGCTCGATAACCTGGGTCACAAGTGCATACGTTTGGATCGCTGCAGTAACCGTTCAAGCAGTTTTCTTCGCAGACCGGTTGGCAAACGTTCGTGTCGTATTCGGTTTCCGTGTAACCTGGCAGGCAAGTACAGACCCCTGGTTCGCTGCAATAACCGTGCACGCAGGTTTGCTCGCAGATCGGTTCGCAGGCTGACGTCGAAGCGAAGTAACGGAACTTGTCGAGAAAATAATACGTTTAACTCGTTACGATATAGTATACTATCGACAGATACCGATTCCCGAATCGAAGTAAATTCCCGTCTGTTCGTTCGAAGAGAAGAAAAGGAACGACTTACTTGTTGCGAATCGAGATGGTCGCGCTTGAGTCGATAGCCGTCGAAACAGATGCAGGTATCGGGTGCCGTGCACCATCCGTACGGTTGACAGGGGGTGTGGCAGTAAGGTTCGCAGACGTGTTTAGTCGCCTCGTCTCCGGTGGATCGGTAACCCTCGTGGCACGTGCATACTTCGGGAGCAGTACAGGTTCCGTTGACGCAAGCCTTCTCGCAAATCGGCTCGCACGCGTACTTCGATCGACCAAGTAGACCGTAACCGTCGACGCAACTGCATGTCTCGGGTGCTACGCATCTACCCATCGTGCAAGGTTCGCTGCAGATCGGTTCGCAGACGTTCTCCCGCGATTGGTTGTTCAAACGGTAACCCGGCTCGCAGATACAGACGTTCGGCGCCGTACAAGTACCGAACGAACAACCGTTCTCGCATCGGGGCTCGCAAGAGAATTTGTCGCGAGGATTCGGTTCGTAGCCGTCGTGACAGGCGCAAACGTTTGGCTCGACGCAGTCACCGTTCGTGCACTCGACGTCGCATATCGGTTTACATATCTTTGGAAAGAAAGAAGAAAAAATTCGATTTCCACCGAACTAATATACTTATATTCGCTACCAGTCGACGTATACAACTACGTTCGAATTTGTAAGAAAGAAGAAAAGTATTAGAATTCACGAATACGCACTTCGTCCTCCGATAATACGTATTCAGAGATAGGGGTGTAACCGGTGTGACAGGTGCAGACGTGTGGAGCCGAGCAAAAGGCGTGGCCCTTTTCGCAGTCGACGTTGCAAATCGGCTCGCAGATAGTCCCGTTCTCGTTCATCTTGTATCCATCGTCGCAAACGCAAACGTTCGGTTCTTTACAGGTTCCGTGAACGCAGTTGGTACAAATCGGTTCGCAAACGTGATCTCGTGTCTCGGAGCGCGTATAATCGACGAAACACAGGCACGTGTCGGGTTCGATGCATTGGCCATTGACGCAATCAGGATCGCAAATTGGTTCGCAATCGCCCGCATCGGTCATTCGGTAGTTCTCGCAACAAACCTTCTTCTTGCCATAGGCGGTATAATACTGAAACGGTTGTTAATCCGATAACGACTTTGATCCGAACGGCATCGGTAGACGGTAGAAAGACCAGTCGAATATATTTACCTCTTTCTTGTAATTCCATCGTACTTTTGTCTGGTAAAATATTCCCCATTTGCTGACCCGGTACGTCTCTTGGTATGGAACGTAACGGCTCGCCGTGTAACTGAGAACGTTCGATTAGTTTCGAGGCCGAAAAGAAACGGAATTTCCGATCGATCGCGTCCTTAGGTCGCGTTACCGACTTACCTGACCAATTTTTCGCACGCTCCCGATTCGTAGCGCCAGCTCGATGATCCGATCAGCCGCGCAACGGACAACGCGAGAACAACAACCAGCAGAAATTGCATCCTCGCGCTCTTTCGTTTTCTCCCGTTTCGCGTAGCGTATCGAACTAACGATGGAAACGCGACTAAATCGTCTGCCGAGACGATTACGCGTTAACCGGCGCCTATTTCCCCTTACTTCCCTTCTGCGTAATCGTGTCCTTTGTCATCGGAAATGCAACAGGATGTTAGGTGATACCGTTTCTCGGGTGATAGAAATTTTTTCGAACGAGCATCGTTTCACCGCCGATCGTTCGTCGCTTTATTTATCGACAATTACAACGAAAATATCGAAAATAATTTCCACGACAATTTTTAGGGAAACCCGAGCGGAGTTTACAAGTTTACGAGTTTATAAGATAATCGTCACGGATTTATTAAAAGTTTCTTTCTTCGATGATCGACGAAGATAGGTCTACTAATCGGTAAGCGATAGGACGGGGGGGGGTTTAGATCGGAACGCATCTTTGTCTGCCCTTAACGCCTGTTTCCTTCCTGTATCCAAGATTGCAGATGCACAAGTTCGGTGCGGTACAGACTCCGTTCGCGCAGCCGCCGATGCACACGGGTAGGCACCTAGATCGCGTAACGTCGTTAGGATCCATCGCGTAGCCGCGTTTGCAGCTGCACCGATTCGGCGCGACGCACTCTCCGTTGATGCAAGGCATCTCGCAAACGGATTCGCCGATTTGCGAGGTGAAACGCGGGACGCAGGTACCGGTAGCCGGTTCCGCGACGTATCCAGGATTACAGGCGCACCGATTCGTTCCCACGCATTTGCTGTTTGGTCCGCAATCGAATTCGCAGTGGGCCGACGGCTGAGGTTGGGACGGTAGTTCGGGGCACCTTCCGGTGATCGGATCGGGGCTCATCCCGTAATCGCAGATGCAGTAATCGGGACCGACGCAAACGCCGTGGGGGCCGCAACCGTTTCTGCACTGGAACGACATAGGCGCCGGGATGCATTTGCCGGTGTCCGGGTCGACGCGGAAGCCCATATCGCAAACGCATCGATTAGGACCTACGCATGTACCGTTGGTTCCGCAACCGAACCTACATTGGGACGCGGTGCTGGATAAGCTAGCCAGAGGGGCGCATTTGCCGTTCGAGTCGCGAGAGAAGCCTAATTTGCAGTTGCACACTCCTGGACCGACGCATTCGCCGTTTTCGCATCCTTCGGGACAATCCGGGCTGCACCTGTTGCTCGCGTCTAACGCGTAACCCGGATTACAATTGCAGATACCTGGACCGATGCATTGGCCGTTGATGCAACCTTGACGACACTCTGGAACGCAGTTGTTGCCAGAGTCGGTGGTGTAGCCTGGTTTGCATCGGCAAACACCCGGGAACACGCACTCGCCGTTCGCGCAACCTTTCGGACATTCTGGATTGCACTTGTTGTTCGAGCCGAGGCTGAATCCCGGTTTACACTTGCAAACACCCGGAGCCACGCATTCGCCATCGATACATCCCGCTGGACACTTTGGAACGCAGGATTCCCTGTCGTTCGGAGGATTGCCGTACCTGTCGGACAGATCTCGGTTAGCTTCGATCCCGATATACGCGAATGGACGAGCGAACCTTACCCTTCGTTGCAAGTGCATATACCAGGAGCGGTGCACTGTCCGTTACGGCAACCGTTCTCGCAGACTGGTACGCACTCTTTCGGTTCGATTCCGGTGCTTTCAGGGGACGCCCGAAGAACGTATCCCATCGTACATCTGCACACTCGGGGCGCCACGCAGTCGCCGTTTCTGCAACCACCTGGACAAATTGGCTTGCACTCGCCGTCTACTTCGTCGTAGCCTAGTTTACAGGCGCACACGTTCGGCGAGAAACAGTAAGCGTCTCTTTGACAGGGTCTCTCGCAGTAGGGCATGCAAACACCTTCCTGTGGGAACCAACCCGGTGCACAGCTGCAAACGTTCGGTGCGGTGCATCTTCCACCTAAACATCCTTGAATGCAACGAGGTTCGCAGCCTCCGGAAGTGAAATTGCGCTCGTAACCGTCGCAGCAATCCAAAATCGTGATCCATCCATTCGTCTAATTACAGTGGATAACGATTTTTTTCAATTTTTTCAATTTTTTCCGAAAATTCGCCAAATTAATTCGATTTTGATAAACGATTCCGACGGACTAGAACTAGCAACAGCTCTACGTAAGTCTCTACGTACAAACCGCTATATATCTCTGTATCAGCGGCAGGATCGTGGAAAACGTGTAGGTGCACTTACCGGTTCATCCTCGCTGGTAGAAGGAAGAGTATTGCGAGGGAACTGTCCGCTGGAGTTAAGCGCTAGCGCATCCGCGTAACTGAAAAATGTTAACGAGGAAATCCTTTATCTATAATCCAGGGTAAAGATCGCTCGATCGCGAGGATATAATTACTCACGGTATCCTCTTGTAACAAAGTCCTGCCTGAACAGTGCTGTTGAAGCCGGTAGGTTGATTCGGTCGATGAGGACGATGGCCACCTTTCACGCCTTCGATCGCCAAAGTGTCTACGGCGAAAAGCGTTAAAACGAGGCAGAAAACGATCAGCGATCCAGTCATGTTGAATGAACGAGCACGAACGAACAACTGGATTCTTATTTTGGGTAGGCGCGCGATCATATCGTCCTCGATAACATTGACGTGTCGGGGTCACATCAGTTACCATCGTGCTTCATCAGACTGCGTAGTTGTTCGCAGAAATGTTTACGAATTGCCGCATCGTCGTCGCGTTTTCGCGCCGTTGCATCTAAACGAGTCGTAATTGGATTACTTCGGAGAAATCGTTTCGATACGGCTTTTTCCCTTTTCTTAATCGGAACAAAAATATGTATATGAAACTTCGAGGAATGCGAGATCGGGGGGAATCGGAAAAATTCTTATAATCGTTTGTTATGCGGTTTATCATCGGCTACGAAGCCAGGGTCACTTCGAGCTTCGACGGATCGGTTCGCCTTTTCGCAACGGAATCGAACGTGCCTCGAAGTAGATAGGCGTATCTAGGCAGGAGAAGACGTGTTTTTCGAGTTTTCTTCGAACGACGGAAACGATTACGAAAGTTTGCTTTACCGCTGGTTCATGTAATCCCTCGATATGTTCTCTTTGGAGAGGATGCTCGACGATAAAAACGACCATTTGAAAATTCCAAAACTCCCGGACATTCGATGATCTTACTGGCGGTGATCTACCGAGAATAAGACGAACAAATTTCGATATCAGGAATTTTATATACGACGATATCGGAGTATTATTCGTCGTGGTACAGTCGGGTCGAGATTATCTTTCAGTTATTCCAATTACGAGCTATCAAGTTTTCTCTCTTTTTTTCTCCTATGTGCTTCTCGTACGTCATAACGAGAGAACGCGTAGTTTGCCTGACACAAATTCGTGATGAACTTATTATTATCGATGATGTCGACGCTTCGTAAGTGCAGTTTGAAGTGTAATCAAAACACGATTCGCTTATCGCTGTTCGGCGATACGAAACGAATATTAAGTCCGAGTCTTATGAATTATATCGTCGTAACGTTTAAATCTGCCGAGTATGGAATGCAAATTATTTGCTGCGCATACTTTTTATTTACATTAATAAGAATCCGCTTTAATATTTTAATTCACGGTACCACGATACAGTTCGAAACGATTAATTATTTAACAAGGTAGCCATACTTTTCGCCTTCGGTTATTCGAAATGTTATTTGAAATAAGCGTACTTATCGTCGAGTTCGCTTAGATCAAGGATCGAAGTATACGTCGAGTTCGATCTACACTTTTTCGCTCGCGAGCGATTCGCGTAAGAAACGGCATCGAGCTAATCGGTGTCTTAATAAATATTTTTAATCAACTTTTCGTACCTTTTATAAACGTTTTATATCGATTCGTTAAAAAATGGATTCGCAATATCGCTGCGCATTAAAATCATTTACAGAATCGTGAACGCAGTTAACGATCTAGCTAGTCGCCGGGCTATAGAATCGGGTTCACGCGTTCTTGCGAGCATACAGAGGGCTCGATTGCAACGGAATTTCGTCGTAAACGTGTTCCGTGTTCGTTTCGAAATCGTTTTGAAGACGAATTCGCGTGGACGGTGGCCGGTCGTAATGACAGCAGTCTTGCAGAAAATCTAAAATAGAGCGAGTGTAAAGCGTGAAAAAAAGAGCGTTTCGCGAGTAGGTAGAAAAATAAGCAAAACTCACCGCGTAGATCCGTGGAAGCTCGGAAGCCGATCGTGGCAGTTCCGTTGGCGTAGTTGCTCGAAGGATCGATAGCGTGCACCGGGAATATCGTTCCGGGCTCCGAAGCGGAGGCGCACAAGGGACTCGCGTTCGGAGTCTCTGTAAATTCGGTAACGCGCACGATCCAAATACAGTAGTAGCCCTCGGCTCGATCGCGATAGCCGGTATTAAAGCGAAAAACCGAATGTTATACGGTACTCACGAGGAAGAGCAGTCATCGCTATCGACGAGATCCTAGTTGAGCTTGGATTCTCTTGGTTCTTGGTTTTAGCTTCGTCGTAAATCGACATTCTAGCCGCTTCGAGCAGCTTCGAACGCATGTGGAGAACCATTACTACCGCTACCGAGGTCAATCCCAAAGATACGATCGAAGCTATCACGATCAGGGCTATGTCCAGGGGTATCGGAGCTGCTTGGACGTCGCCTGCTTCGGATTAATAGCTGAGCGTTAATTGTATCGGTCGAAAAGTAGTTCTCGTAGAAATACCTTTATGAACGTTCTTCACGTAGTCCGTTTTCGGCGGAACAACGTCGTGCGAATCAACGTTATCGCGAACCCGAGCCACGAACGGATTATTCGTTCCTCTGTCTTTTTCGATGTTCCTTCTCCGTTCCGGTACGGAAACTAAAACGATCACGGGCCTTGTGGTGCTCGAGTTGCCCTCTTCGCGTGTCCTAATTTTCATTCGACCCGAACTCGAGAGGTTGCCGGATACTTCCGGGCTGGTCGTTTTGCCAGGATTATCGGTGGTGGCGAGTGTCTGGTAACCGTCCGCGTCTTCGACGATAACCGATAAAAACTAATTACTATATCACTCGCGTCTCGAGTAGAAAATCTTTCGATCTTTTCTATTACCTTCTGTCCGAGTTTTCGTCGTACGCGAAATTTCCCAAGATTCTCTCTGATTATCCGCGACCGACGAGTTCGGAGATTCGTCTAGATTGTCCGTGTAGTCGGCGTTCACCGTCGATGCATCGTCCTCGATGCACCGACCCGTTACGGGGTGACAGCCGCTCGCTGAATTCTTGCATTCGCATGAAAACGCGCATGCAGGGCCATAACGATCGTTTGGACACGATTCGTTACACCTGTCGTGAGGAATAGTAATTACACTTAATCGTACGAGAACCGTCTATTAGACTCTTTCGATGAATACCAGTATAGGCTATTTATGCAATATCGACCAAGCATACCGCGAGTCGATGGAATACGGCTCGAGTTAACGTTGATCCGTTTCTTTCGGAACTTTTTTGCAAAGGAGCCCCGCGCAAAACGAGAAAAGGTAGAAAAAGGTCGTTTCGAAATTTATCGACGATAACTTTTTAAAAATGTTTAACGACATCGACCGCTGCAACATCGGTCCTAATAACAATTGCAGTTGCGGTAATTATTATTCGATTAAGCGAGATTTAGACCCAGATTTAATCCGAACACGTCAGTTTGGACTTTCAACGGTTCTCTGGATAATAGAAAGGGTATCTGCGCGTTATAGACACGGATGCAGCCGCGGACGCAAATTCGAATGCTTACGTTCGTCCACGTAATCCTGGCGGACACGCACAGTGTCCGTTTACGGGATTGCAAGGTACGTCCTCGATGCAGTTACATTTCTCTTTGCACAGCAAGCCCCACGTGCCTCTCGGACACTCTGTAACACGACGACGTCGCTATTGGAAATTTTCATGCGGCAAGTCCAATGTAAACGTCCCTGATTCTATGTAAGTTTCGTTTGTTCTAATACGTTCTCGACGACGGCCGTAAAGATAGATGTAGAAATTGAGCGTCGGTCGAGGAAGGAAAGAGGCGTGCTCGAAGGATCGATTTAGAAAAAGCGAAAATAATTGTTACGACGCGAGGCTGGAAGGTCGGTCCGTTTTCTCGAGCGTGAAATTTATCCTCTTCGTTAAGGAATTTCGAGTTTTCTCCGCGTCCGATCACGATCACGGGCAAATTTCTAACGAAATAATCGATTTCTTCTTAACGAGCGGATCGTAAAGGAAGAAAAAATGCGGGACTTACCGATTGCACAGTTATCTCCGTGCGCTGAATTCTTGCATTCGCATGAAAACGCGCATGCAGGGCCATAACGATCGTTTGGACACGATTCGTTACACCTGTCGTGAGGAATAGTAATTACACTTAATCGTACGAGAACCGTCTATTAGACTCTTTCGATGAATACCAGTATAGGCTATTTATGCAATATCGACCAAGCATACCGCGAGTCGATGGAATACGGCTCGAGTTAACGTTGATCCGTTTCTTTCGGAACTTTTTTGCAAAGGAGCCCCGCGCAAAACGAGAAAAGGTAGAAAAAGGTCGTTTCGAAATTTATCGACGATAACTTTTTAAAAATGTTTAACGACATCGACCGCTGCAACATCGGTCCTAATAACAATTGCAGTTGCGGTAATTATTATTCGATTAAGCGAGATTTAGACCCAGATTTAATCCGAACACGTCAGTTTGGACTTTCAACGGTTCTCTGGATAATAGAAAGGGTATCTGCGCGTTATAGACACGGATGCAGCCGCGGACGCAAATTCGAATGCTTACGTTCGTCCACGTAATCCTGGCGGACACGCACAGTGTCCGTTTACGGGATTGCAAGGTACGTCCTCGATGCAGTTACATTTCTCTTTGCACAGCAAGCCCCACGTGCCTCTCGGACACTCTGTAACACGACGACGTCGCTATTGGAAATTTTCATGCGGCAAGTCCAATGTAAACGTCCCTGATTCTATGTAAGTTTCGTTTGTTCTAATACGTTCTCGACGACGGCCGTAAAGATAGATGTAGAAATTGAGCGTCGGTCGAGGAAGGAAAGAGGCGTGCTCGAAGGATCGATTTAGAAAAAGCGAAAATAATTGTTACGACGCGAGGCTGGAAGGTCGGTCCGTTTTCTCGAGCGTGAAATTTATCCTCTTCGTTAAGGAATTTCGAGTTTTCTCCGCGTCCGATCACGATCACGGGCAAATTTCTAACGAAATAATCGATTTCTTCTTAACGAGCGGATCGTAAAGGAAGAAAAAATGCGGGACTTACCGATTGCACAGTTATCTCCGTGATAGCCAGGATTACAATGACATCGATTCGGAGAGACGCAAATTCCCGAGAGACATTTATCGCAAAGCGGTAAACATCTGATGGCTGTCGTACCGTCACTGGCCGTGATCGTTTTGTAGCCTTCGCAGCACTCGATCACTCTCCTGGTCTTCGACTCTGTCTATAAAACGCGAAAAAACGTTATTTCCTAATTTAATATTTCCTAATTTAATAAGTTAAATTTATGTAATAGTTGAACCGCATCCGCGTTAACGTTACGAACGCAGTGAAACGTTTATCCGAACGGTACGCGGCTCGTGAGAATTTCGAGTAGGAGTTGATGCCCGGTGATTAGGGAAACGATTAATTAGGGAGCCGAAATTAGGCCAGGCGAGCCATCGAGCAAAACCGACTTCTTCGGCAAAATTCCGAGTTGGAAGGCCAACTTCGAAGCGAGTAGTACGGAATCGTCGAGATTCTCGCGTAAGAACGAAAGTGTGGTTGTTCACGGTGTGGAGAAACGAAACCGAGAGTAGCGTGTAACGGGTTCGTTAGCGATCCGTTGTAAGCGAATACGCGAGAGGAAATCTCTGTTTCCTAGTCATTCGTCCAAATATAGTTTGATTTTTTTCATCGACATCGAGATATATGTATATTTTGCATCCTAAAGGAAAAAAACCTATTTATATATCGGCGTGTATCGAGTCGACATCCCAGAACCCTGTTACGCACCGAACACGTGCTCTACTTTCTCGGTGGCCATTATTCGCTCGCGTCGACTGCGATCGGGATATTATACATATAGATAATATCGAATTTTCTCGTCAATTCTAATTCGCTCCAATTTACCATTAAAGAAAATACCATGGCATTGCTTGGGTCGGACTAACCGCGATAACTCGTTTGAACGATAAATTACGAATGATCGCGACGAAACGAGGCGAATTATCATGAGTAAAAGCGGTCTCTCGAGATAGAGCCCACGTGGGAAACGTAGGCGGAAAAGGGGGAATACGCAGAGTTAATTGGTGTGTAGTGTCAACAACGTAGATAGTTAAAATCGTGCTCGTTCGATTAATTAAGAGTTTCTCCGTATGAAACGGGAATCGACTCTGATAACTATGGATAGAAAGTTGAGCGAGTTGCTATCCTGCGATAGGTTTTGTTAAGGGAATAGAAAATAAGACTTCGAAGAAAGAGCTACGATCGCGTAGAAGAAAACGATGTACGAGGACGAGTGTGAAGACGACAGAAGTAATCGATCGAATCTATCGAAAGCTCGTCGCTGTTTCGAAAGATTCCTCGGAATCGCGGAAAGATATTGTTAATCGACGCGTTAACGAAACAGTGTTCGCAATCGGAATCTCGAATGACGTATTTTTTACGAACGCTGCGCGAAAGCTAAGTAACTTGATCGAATAGCTGTTTCGACAGTTTCGCCGCTAGAAATAGGGGAAGATATCGATGATTTATCGTAGAACAGAGAAGCCCGCTAGATCTCCTTTCTCTAATTCTATCGATCGAATCGCGTTCTAATAGTTTATTTTTTATCCGTAACGTTTCTGGTATATCGTTTCAACTCGATAGCCGATCGCGTAATAAGTGACCGGTGATTAATTCGCTGGTAATTTACTTGCATAACGAATTCCTCCTCCGCACGATGAAAACGAAAGACACAAACGTTAATTGCAACGCGAGACTCGAGCCTGCTCGGTGATCGATAGCGTCACTCGATAGCGTTCGTCGGCTTTATCGCTTTAAAGATCTGGCAAACGGAGAGAAACAAGCGAATTTATTCCCGGAAGGAACTGGCTATTTTACGCGCAAGAGTATCCGTCGAACGGCCCATTGTTCGTAATTAGTAATGCAACGCGATCGAACGATCGGTCGATTCGGTAAGCAAAAAAAGTCGATTTATCGGTGTAGAAATTGTGTTGACGGTTCGCTGAAAACCGGTCGAACCGGCCTACTATTACCATCGAATAAAACGCGACTCCTCGCAAACATTTTTTTTTTTTACGAGTTACGCACCGAGCCGTTCGTTTATTTTTCGATCATTCGATTACTATTCGTACTTTCCTCTTCTACGAGCGTACCTACGTCTACCAATGAGCCAGCAACTTGTTGCCGATAACTCGATAATATTCACAGATTATTAATCGCTGTGATATTTATTTATATAACCTGCTACGAAAGTAGGTTATATTCGATTTTTTCGATTCCAACGAAATAATGGGTTTCGAGTAATTGTTTCTATACTCGAAGTCGAGCGAGTTCGTTAGTTACAGCGTCGGATATCGAATATCTCTGTAAACGCGTAATTGCCTAAAAAATTGTGTAATGCCGACGTTTTCTATCCGTAGAAAACATCGTACGGCCTCGAAACATCGATTCTTTATCCTATTTCTGTCTCGGTCGGTTTCCCAACCTACGCCACGGCACTCCGCGTCTCATTTTCACGGTAGATCCTTCGGATCGTTCCATTTTCTACGATATTCTACTATAATACCTTTCGAACAACGCGTGCCGTTTCGTTTTTTGCTCGAGTATGATACATTCGTCCACGTCATTCTTGTCGTCGCTTCGCTGACTACACTTTGCGCGCTTTAAAGGTACGATAACTTTGCTTCGTAATTCGTTCAAGGACTGTTACCATTGTCTCGGTATACTTCGATTACTATCTTCGGTGTTGGCTAACTCGCGTCGCTATCCGTTTATTCATTGTTAATGTTAGCTACCGACGATGATGATAATAATAATAATATTTCCATAGTCCAAAGTTATAATCGTTAATAATAGCTAGTCAAAGACGATAGAACCGTGAACGTTCGAAGAGCGTTCGGTCGAACGATCAAACATTTCGATCAGCGAAAGGGCTACTAATGGCCGCTCGAAAGTCCATTCGATGGTGATACACGTTCCTATTATGTAACCGGGAGCGGTGTAATGCCGAGTAAAATACAGCGCGATCTTCCTACGCAATAAATATTAAGTCTGCCCCAACCGTGAGAGTCTCGGGCAACACGCGATACGTAGACGGTGCGGGTTCGATGTAACTACTGCAGTTGCGATATGTTCTCATAGGAATATAATCTCGTTATCGGTGGACCGTGGTCCTTTCTACCACGAAAATTCGAGAATTCGAAACACGCGAAATCCGATTGTTCGTTATAAATTAAGCGATGGACAAGGATCTCGCGTTCTGTCGCAAAAAATACCTATACAGTGTATCGTATTTTATGGGGTAATAAAGAACTATTATGTTAAGTATAAGGAGTTTTTTCGCTTTAATCGTTGCCGTGTTCGCGTAGCAGGTTGCGAAACGGCGCGTTTAGGCTCCTTTTCTCTTCCGGCGTGCATGTAAACACGAGTAGACTTCGAAACCAAGCTCGATACTCGTCGATCTGATCAAGAAATTCTGCTTCGTTACTACATCTTGTAGCGGTGTTACGTTCGCTTAACTTCGCGAACGATCAAAGTGACCAAAGAATTGTCTCTTGAACGTAGATTTTACACGCAGTAAAGGTAAACGTACCTTTCGCGAAGTTAAGGGTCGACAGAGACAGAAAATCTAAATTAGAGAATGACGAGGCATTCTCTAAACTCTAAAGAAAGCACGGAGAAAATTGCGAGAACTTAGCGAACACCGTATACGTGTACGTAGAGTTTCTCGTATAGCCCTTTTCGCCTAGTATAGTATCTACCCGCTATCTTCCGGTAGCAATTGATTGCTCCTCGCGCGAACCTAGATCGATCGGGTTACATAAGTTCTTCTTTTATAGAGGTTAAGTAGATCGCGTAGATTAAACGGCTACCGAAATCGTGGTTACGATCGCTCGCGATCGGCGGATACATCGGGCAACAGGAACGCAGCCTCGATTAATTTATCTTAGCTGAGTGGTAATTAATCGGTCGACGTAATTCGACTTGTCGTAAATTCTAAATTAATCACAGTAATGTAAGATTTGTTTGTAAACCGTGCGCAACATTTTTTTTTTTTTTTTTTTATTGTAAGCGAATACTCGTTACCCGTTCTAAACCGTATCGAACCGTAACGTTCCGCGTTTAACTTCCGTTAATTAGTCTTTTCGTGGCTGCTTGGAAATTCTTAGGCCTGTTATTCGAATAATTGTTGCAATTTTTGCCGGGAAAACCAGAAAAATGATATCCTTTTCGAGAGATCGATCGATAAAATGGCGTTAGAAATTTTCTTTAAACGCGAGTATGTTCAATTAGAAAGATAGAACGGAAGATAAGAAATAGAAAAGCTTTTGGTCGTTCTGCAATCGAACTGTCGTAATTTGGCTCGTTTCGGATGCTCTGTATTTCGTATTGCCTTTCCCCCGATATTCGAAACGCGTCAAAGTTACCTATGGCCCGAAAGGGCTTTGAATACCTTTAAAAAGAGTAAAGGGTGCTCACCTTTACGCGATATCGTTGCCTCGTTTCTGTCCGTGTCTTCGGGCACCTGGGTGGGATTTTTAGACACCAGGTGAACGTATTCACGACAACCGGCTCCGTATAGGTTTCCATCGACGTGACCGTGTAACTGTAATCGTTTGATCGATTAACTATCCGTTCCTCTCGCGATATCCTTATCGGCCGCGAACCCACGCGTAATAAACTAACGAGACTGGGTTATTGTCAAGGTTCGATCGCGAAACCCTTTCGTATGTTTTCGATGATTAGGTTATAACCACGATTCTCTTGGACTATCGGTTCTCTCGTCATTGCTTCTTCTCGAGCGTGATACACGCTTCCGATTATAAAACAAATTTTCGAAACGTTAAGCTCGTCGAGACGAAAAATTCGAAAAATTCGAAAAATTCGAAAAATTCGAAAAATTCGAAAAATCTGTAGTTCCTCATTTTTTTCTGGTTCGGGACTTTCAGGATCCCTTTGATCCTTAATTCGTCTTCGGGATTCGTTTCTACCTTTCGAATTCCTAAGGTCTCGCTAAGTTTCCCTCGGTGCTTTCTCGAATCTTTTGCGATTCTCGACAGATTTGTCGTTGGTTAAAGGAAAGTTACGTAGGTACAGATAATTACTCACTTCTCCGTTCTGGAACATAGGTTGTCCGCTGAAAATACCCGCGAAGATATTATCAGCAACACGAGCAACTGGCAAGTGATCGCGATACACATTTCAACTTTTCCTTCCTGTTATCTGAATTCCTGTTATCTGCGAACAGGGCGAAACGTCGTTGATCGAAGCAGAACGCGAGAAGAAAAATCTGTAACGAACCACGATACTTACTTCGATGGAGCGTTGTACGGTCGAGGTCGAATTATTTTAGAAGAATGCGTTCGAAAACGAACCGAATAGTCGGCGGCGTCGAACGAATAAATGCGATGCTTCCATCGCGATCGTTTCGGGTGTCGTTCTTCTGGCAAAAAAGAACGGAAATATTAGCCGCCTCTAAACGCAAAAGTCTTCCGTTACTATCGATAACGCTAGACACGACGCGACATTTTTCACCGTTTCACCGTCACCGACAGTTTCAACTTTTGTCGTCCAAGTATTATTTTCGGTTGCCATACTATTTGCTTAGCGAAATGATCTGTTCGTGGTATTTAGCGCGACATGGTATTTAAAAAGGAAAAAAAGTACCGTAAAGGATCGAAAAAAACTATCGCGCGTGATATTTGTATTTTATTATCCATTAATTACCGTTTCGCAACAGGGAGAAAGGAACAACGCGTACCGTGTGCTCAGACGTTCCTGCCGGAAATTGCGTAGCCGATATTCGATGTAAGAGGGACAGACGGTCCCTTTCAAAGGACGTTCTTCGCGACAGGAAACGTTAAGTTGCTCCAATTGACTTGGCTGATTCGCTACGCGATATACGAACGACTCGACGCGACCCGACTCAGTGTTTTATCGACGTAGGTGCGTAACCGCGACTGTAAATAACGATTCGCCGACAGGATGCGCGAACTTCGAATTTATTCGAATTATTGCGGCACGATTCAAATATCGTTGCAAATGTCTTCGTTCGAACGTATCGCGAAATCGATAATGGAACTAATACGGCGCAAGACCGATTTAAGTCACCGACTAATGCTCTATATTTCTGGCTCGAGTAATGCCACATGTGGTTTATAATTCAATCTCCGGTCCCTTTTTTCTTCCCGCCGCGCCGGCGACGCGAGCACGATGAAAAGATCAACAGAAATAATTTCAGAACTTCCACGCGGCTAGCAACGTTTCGACAAATTTATTGTTCCTTTTTTCGATTACGATTTCTTCCTTGGAACTGTACAGTTTTCGATTTCGAAAGATGAAATTTCTTAATTCGTAATTCCTTAGCGACGGTAATAGTATTCCTTCCATTTGGTTGTTAGATAAACAACAAAATACTAAATCGATATTATCGATATTATCGGCCACATTATACATATTAGTAATCGATATTATCGGCCACAAGTCCGTAACTTGAACTTCTCCGTTTCTCCCATTTCACTTTCGATATAGCTTAGGGAAATTTCCGACTTGTTACGGCAAGTCGGAATAGAAATTTACCACGAGGTGCAAATTGGTCCAAGTAACCGGCAGTTATTTCTTGTTTCTGTTCAACGAGCGTAAACGCGCTGCTCTAGATCGAACACGCGCGATTCGCGAAGACGAGCAATTTTGTTCGACGAATCGAAAGAATTCCCATTGTCGGCGATAATTTCATGATCCTTTGTTCGAGTTACAGGGTTAGTAAGAATGGAAGGTCGAGTCGTACGATACTCGACTCCGTTCGCACGGCTCCTCGTCTACGCCTGACGAAAGAATAACGATTGTTACGGTTGTTTAATCGTCGTGGAACCCTTAATTATCGCGGCAAACTCGAATTTATCGCGATCTCGTATAATTAGTTCGAGTAGCGTTACCAGAATTAAGAATACGCGACGATTCGATCGCACCAGGGTAACTAACAGTTTACTAACTGTCCTTCTCGAGCCTTACCCTAGGAAAACTCAACATTCGGAAACGAACAACCACTTTCTTCTCCTTCTCGTTCTTCTCGCTAGATCACGAAGGACGCGCGCGAGACACGAAAAATCACGCGAGAAACACCGTATAGATCGCGACGACAAGATTATTTAAGGATACGCGATCCTGGACAGGCCGGCTAGCAAAGGGAATGTCAGCGACGCTTTCGCGGACCGATTCGCGACTGGATAGCAAAACCGTAACGAGCAATTGGCGTCGCCGTCACTCGGAATGCACTTGTGGCACAATGAACTCCGACCCTAGCCGTCGACCACGTAACGACAACGACAACGACAACGACAAGCAGAACGTTGTCGAAGGTGGGGTATGGACGATTCCCATAGGGGACATCTGGATCTCCGAACCTCGCGGAACACGGGAGAACATCGAGGTCTGTTCGACGATTTGAAACATCGAAGATATCCTGCGCGTTATGCACCTGTGTCTTTTTAACGACTCTTCTCGAAGGTCTGGGTTAAATAAGGCGTTACGCGTGTCGACGGTCAACGGGGCTAATCGTAAGGACGGTATACGGATTATGTTGCTTGCCACGCGTTTTAAAGGTTGTCTAATACCGGTAACGAAGCTACGTCGAGGGGATACGTGAGATTCCATCGGTGAAGCGCTTCGCATCTGTCGAAGAAGAACGAAAAGCCCGAATTCCGTGAGCCGACGCGGCGCGATGCAACCAGATGCAAACGTAATGGGATGATTGGAAGGGCAATTGATGGCGTTCCCTCTTGTTCTCTTCGACCGGTCGAGCATTTAATCCCGTGACTCGTGACGAACAACATCCGACGAAATCGAGTAATTAACGATTGCGCGACAGGAGGGAAAAACGGGTGTCACTGATCGCGTCTTCCGTTGACTGTTCGTTAGAAACGGTTTTACGTTCTGGTCATTCTGTTCAGGAATTATTCTAAACGCGTCTCGAGTCGTCGATTGATTCGTTCGATAATCGGACTAGAAGAATGCGGGAATTCGAGCAAAAGTATTTCCAGTACGGATTGACGCGTGGTAGAAACGTTAATAATTGCATAGTACGTTGCCTTTTCCGCGAAACACGCTCGCGATCCCAGGCATTTCGTACTTTTGCCTCTTCCTTTCGAAACTATTCGCGTCGATCAACGATTACGGGGTCACCGTGCGCGGATATTAGGATAAATTCGGTAATTCGACGGCTTTACTTTCTATGTTTTAAAGCGTATCTGAAACTGTGTGTGGGACGATTTTGAACGTGTTGGCTAATGCGAGAGTAAAGAATTAGCCTTTTCGAGCGTATTTTCGATCATTCGGTCGACTCGTTTGTCACGGAATAGGATTTCCCGAGGTGGCGGTTTTACGAGGAACACGGGACAAGAAAGAGCACGCGAACAAACGTTGTGCGACGTTATTAGATCGTACAAGCCACTCTCGTTCCCGGTCTATTGTTCTCGTCTGGCAAAGAGGTTGGTTATGCCGAGGTAAGCATTAATCGATACGCTTAGGGTCGATCGTTACGTTCTCGTTTCTCGAAACGAACACGTTTCGAGCGTCTCTTAGCTACAGCGATAATTACGACGGTAATAATTCGGATCAATGGAGACGGACCATTAGGCGATATTAGTATCGCAACCTACGAGACGTCGTAGGTTTACGCCTTGAGCAAGGTTGCCCTGAATAGTTGTCGAAGTACCGCCGCATAGCATCGCTGAAACCGGCTTAGCGAGTTCCGATCGAGCAATCTTACGTTCTTTCATCGATTCTCCTCTTAACCAGGATGTATTCGCGCGAAAGCGTAACTACGATACTGCCATTACAATGCTACATTCGTCGCGTCCAAGGAAACAGGGATGCAGGAATTCTCGCGTATCTACTCGACGCGACGATATCTCGTTGACCACATAGTACGAATCACGATTGAAAATCAGCGTCGTGCCGTCGTGGACGAACGCGCAGGACCCACGTCGTACAGGTGAACTCGCTATTTTTTCCCAAAATGACGCAAACTTCGCGTAATCCGACTGGATCGCGCGATTATGAGCCAAGAATCAACGGAACGTGGAAGTATTACGAAACGATTGCGCCAATCTACCTAAGTACATTGTCGTTCTTTACCGTCCCCGTGAACATCGGCTCGGGAAACGTTCAATTAATGTCCCTCGTCGTGACGTCGTGACGTCGTGACACGGCTTTGTACGATTTGGACATAAGGGAATAGAAAGTGAACGGGTTGCATAAATTCGGCACCGTTCGCGTTTAACCCTGAAAAACGCTTTCGAAGCGAGCTAACGCTTTCCAGCTTTTCTTTCCGAACGTAACTATCCGTTTGTTCCAAGAACAGGGACAAACAGGTAATCTAGATCGACAAAGTTAACTGGATTCTGCCGAATGTTTTTCGCCGCGAAAGCGGAATGTCTATGTCCTCCGCTTTGCTCGGATCCTCTGTTTCCGGCTCATAAATTCGCTGGTGTTTGCGGAATACGTAATTCCAACTTTCTTCTTTCTTTTGCCGGAGATACATATGTATACATACAGATTTCGTTTGAAATCAAACTATTCTTTTAGACAATTATTCGAGCGTCTTTTATAAAAGACAATATCGGCGAGTACCATTTAGCGTTCGCCGTTGTACGATTCGTTCTTGAAAATGTTCGCTAAAAATTCCATCGGTCAACGACATAGAATCTGAAATGGTAATAATTTTCGTTAGCGAACAGTCGTATCGTTTTTCGCGGCTTCCGTTACGCGATCGGACGTTCAAAATAGTCTGAAACGAGATATAACCTTGAAATCGCGAAACCGTAGACACGAAATTTACCTATGCGAATATTAATGAGCTATGCGACTGGTCGGCGTCATAAATCGAATATACATAAATAGCCGTTAAAAGGTCGAATATCTTTGCATGACGCAAATTTTACTTTATTTTATTATATATATTCGGCAATAGCGTGTCGTTGTTTTCGTTGTTTCGTTCGATATCGGAAGGTAGAGGAACGCGGATCGCGGCGATACGACAGAGTCGTTACCGGCGAAAGTTGGAACGATCGCGATCGGTGATTCCGTTCGAAAAGAATTACGATCGAACCGGAAACGATCTCCTCCGGGCAGATCTCCTCCGGGCTATTTAGCCCGCATTTCCTCGAGCGAGTTTCTGTCGCGTGCACGCAAGAGCGTTCTTCGAGGGCGTGTGTTCGTGCGTGGACGGTGAAAGTGGACGAGAGGCATTCGTCGAATCGTTGTGCAGACGTTTCGCGGAAATACAGGACTTCCCGGTCTTCCGATTATGCAACTGAACGGACCAGTTTTCGGCCGTCCGCACGAAGCTGCTCGAAATCGAAATCGAAAGCGAAAGGGGCGCCTTGTCTCGGTTCAGTGGCGAACAAACGAGAAAAAGGGAATAAAAGTCGAGAGAAAACGAAAAGAAAAAAAAAAATTACCCTTTAACCTGTCGTGGCCCGAGGCCTCGAAAACCGGCCTGGCAATCGAGATTGACGAGCGAGGCGTGACTTCTCGACCCTTTTCGTCATTCGAGAAACGAAACGGATACTTCTCGTCGTGCAAATGCAACGCCGTGTCGGTAGTTGCTACTCGTCGCCGGATAATTAACTATTCGATCGAATAATTTTCGAGCGCGTATCGTAAATTAATGTCGGTTAAGTAGGAAGTTATATAAATCGAAACAGATCCGTCTTCGTTCGCACGAATCGCTGATTCTCGAGTTACGCGCGTTTGCCACCAAAAACGAATTACGTGTTTCTTATTTTTTTTTTTACCGGAACTTTTCTTCTTTATTCGCGAAGAGAAAGCAACGTTTTAACGAATATTAGTCGACCTTGAATATTCGGGACGCATCGCGAGCGAACGCCAAGAAGAAGATCAGGATCGGGATCGGCATCGGGAGCGGTAGAAGAGCACGTTCGAGAGGTGGGTCCAATAAAAGCATCGTGGCACGTTCGATGATGCAATGACCGTCTTTCGCGCTTGGTTTCCGCATCTTCGCGTTACGCAAGTGGGTGAACCAGTTTCTGGACAGACCACCTTTGTGTAATTATGCCCGAACAAAGCTGTCCACGCAAGAACAATAACGTCTCTTGTCGTGAAAGTCGTCATCCTACACTCCACGAGTCTGACACGCTCTGTCGATTCGTTGGAAAGTTTCAACGGCTTAGTAGCATCCTTGGAAAATGTCACGAGGCGTTGTTTGCGCTGTATACGGAGGTCGCGCGAACGCATCGGTCTTGCGTTCTTCGTTCGTTTCCACTGGTAAAAATACTTAAACCGGTTTATTATACCACTCGACGACAAATAACGTAGCGAATATTCGTAATTAGACGAGTGAAATTTGTCGAGCAGCGTCGAATTTAAGGAAGGCGCGTTTGCGAAATCTCTTCTTTCGTCGCGAGACGACTGTGATTATGACTCTGGTTTGCGGCTCCTTTAATTACGCAACTCTGGTAAACCAATCCCGAGTTTGATCTCGGGGCTCTGCGAGATCCATGAGAACTCGAAATAATAGCTTCCATCGTCGCAGCTTCTCTTTCTGGACGACGAACGATAAAAAAAAGCATCGGTGAATCGCTTTAGCTGTTCGCGAACGAGCCCCGAATTCGATCATTGTCGGTATCGATTCTTTTTGTTAACCCTCGGATAACCGGTCAATGTAACTGTTCGCGATTCCTTTTCGAACAATTTCCGAGTTAGTTTATTCGTTTCCGTATACGTCTTACACTTAACGCGGCATTAGAATAGAAAAATAGCATCATTTTCTAACAGTATAATTTACGCCGGGGAATATACAAGAGGATGGGTGAAAGATACGTGTATTTATCTAACTGGTTAATATTTTTATCGTCGTTCGTTGAAATCTTCGTGGAAAACTAACTTGACATATTTGTAATAATCGATCGATTTCTTTTCTATGAAATTTTCGGGTAAGTTACGTGGGAAGGTAGCGACTCTAATTGCAGATCCGGATTCACGATCATCCTCCTTTCCCTTTCTTTTCCTTCGGCGCGATGCTCGAGCGATCTGTCAGCAGGGCGTAAAACGATTCACGCGCTGCCACGCGAGCTAGTTGTTTAATTACGGGCCGTGTAATTACTTCGTTAACCGTTAAATTAATAAGGAATAGTTAGAAGAGCAACACGCGATTCGAGTATTAACGCGTTCGCTTAATCGGATTTATTTCCGTTCCAGCTGCGTAACAAGTTGATCGCACCCGCACGTTTGGTCATTTATTTGGTTCGTTCGAGCCGATCGAAGGATATCGATCTTCTCCGTTCGGCAAAAGACGAAGGACGAGAGACGAGAGACGAGAGACGAGAGACGGGAGACGAGAAAAGGGAAAGGGAAATTTCGAAACGCTGTAGGCAACCATGTGCTTCGTTCGCGTCCAATTAAGGAAATTTAGGGAAAAATTTCTCTCTTAACGAAGCGTCGAAATCGTTAAGAATATCGCGATGATTCCAGGGAGAATCGTCGTGGGCCGTGTTCTAACAGCTGCGTTGTAAAATCCGCTTCCGTACACTTGTAGACCAGCAGTCTCGATGCTCCGTTTGCAGTAGTCGCCGTCTGAAATGAACGTATAAACGAGTTATCGGTATTTTCCTATCGAGTTGCGAATTTATTTGTTCGAACATTGAAAAATCTATCGTTTTAATCGAAAGAGCGATGCAACGAAATTCGTTATGAACGAGCGTAACCGATCTAATCCGCACGTGCCGTTTTATAATCTTTGCGATAACGCGCTGCTCGAGTTTACGAGCGGTATAGATCGGCATAAAAGTAGTAGAAGATCCGTAAACGAATAAATCTAAAGTGGTAAAAGGATGCTCGTATCGCGGAGATCGATCGATCGGTCCAGTTTCGAAGGAAAGAGAGGTGGAAGAAAGAAGCGGAGAGACGGTAAAGGAAAGGGACAGTATCGCGACCGACAGAGAAATTATACAATTGCCTCTATCTCCTCGTAACGAACGAGTCACGTACGTTTCACGCTTTCCATCGCGTAACATCGATTCTCGGAGACTCGAAACCACGAGTCGAGAATTTTCCTCTTCTTCCCTAACGCTCGAATCGAGATTAAGCGCACGCGGATGTTCGTAAGCGCAAGTTCGAGGCGGATTTCGAGGTGCAACGTGCAATGGAAACGAGAGCGGAGTCGTCGAACGTGCTTCACGACTCTACGTTTCCCTCTTTCTCTTTCCACTTCTGTTTCTCTTCGGCCGTGTTCGTCGCTCGTTTTGCACCTTTAGGTTCACGTCGTTTTCTCGCTCTCCGATTTCGCAAACACGGTCCCACGGGGCCAGAATCGAACAAGCGGCTTTGCATTTTATCACGGAAACCACGATGAAAGTGACGTTTCCTGCGTCAGTTGTACGTGACGAGGGTGAACATTTTCCGTGTGTCAGGTGTTCGCGATCGAACTTGCGGTTTATCGATTGGCTCGATAGAATCACGCTCAATACGTCGATGTACGAGCACCTACGGTTAAATAGCGGCTATATTTATGGGATTAAGTCAAAGCGACTTAATCGTTGTTCCGAGAAACGCGAGTTCGCTCCTAGAAAACGTTTCGTTTAACGTTCGATAGGCTCGCTCGAATTTTACAGATTCTCCGGACAAATGTCGCTTCGTGACTTCGATGTTTCGATAGCTTACGTAACGCTTTCGTTAAATTTACGTCCTCGAATCTTTCTCGGACAGTTACGCTGACAAAAACTTTCTTCGCGGCAAATTGCCGTTTTACAAGTGCAACCAGTTTCTCGCCGATAGAAGATAGAAAGAGAAAAAACAAACGGAACGGTCCGCGAATAGAACGATCAATCAGAGTCGCAACGGATTCGCTCGATAATCCTCCTGGTAATTAGGTCCATCGTACGTGCTCCTTTTTCTCCGTTTACAAGAATTTACGCAACGTGCATCTAGGTGGGCAGTTTGGCAAGATCTGGTTGCCTCGGAGAAGAGCCGTAACACGGTACGGCCAATTCTAATAATTTCCCCGTACACTGGGGATCGTAATTCAGCCGAATGTCGTCACACGTTGAATATTTGTAGCGCTCGACGGTAACTGGCACGTGGGAATTGCAACCTTCAATCTGTTACGGTAGGAAATTGCATAATTTGTAACGAGTTACGATGAAAGGTATCGCGCGAGTACCGTGATACCTACTTACCGTTCGCAGAGATCGCGTCGCGTCGCGTTCCTTGTTTTTTTCCAACTACCGAACGAGGAAAATCGAATCGCTTGAAACACCGTACCGGTCGAACGAGGAAGCGGAAAATTAAACGGCTCGACAAAACGATATAAGAACCGATCGCGTCGAATCGAAATTTACTAAGTTTTACATTTTTCGATCATTAATTCGATTTCGAATGATCGTTCACCGTTGATATTTGTCGAATTACGTAAGACCGCGCGTAATTATTTCTCGCGATGAAACGGATTCGTTCGGGGTTAGCACGCTCTCCAATTAGTTTGGATAATCGAGTTTCCTAACCGTGACGCACGAGAGAAGAGTGTTCGAGAGAAGAAAGCCGAGGTTAGACGGATTTGCACGTGCAGCAAAAGGGATCGTATAGAATATAAAGCAGAGTTAGATGTACGGGATATGTAGGGTAGTAAAAATCGCTTTCTCACCGTACGACCAGCCCACCACGTCTCCGGTTCTCAGGTTCTCCGTTCTCAGCCAGTCTTCGAGAGGCCTGAAGTACTCCCTGAGCGCGGACGCGTCCAATCTGTCCTCGCCGATCGCTTCTTGTAGCGTTTCTTGCCACGGGATCGACGAGCCTCTTTCCATTATCTTTCTGTCGAACATAAGAAAAATTCTTTACCGAAGGTTTATCGAAGAATCATTTTCAGAAATTGACAAGTAATCGGAGGACGCGTTCGCTTTCTAGCTGTGCCGCCTGCGCCATTGCAACAGCACGTTCCGCTGGTACAATAGAAAAATGTCGCGGCGCGGCGGCGGAAAATTGGCGGGGAACTGGAAAAGGGAGAAAAATAAAGACAGCTTCGTAACGAGCCTCCTTTTACGACCTAACCGCGCCGCGATCATCTTAATTAGCAAATCTTTGCCAATCGGCCGTGTGCCAGAGGCGTCCGAGTATCTAGTTTCTCGCTCGATTCTTCCTACCAGTTAATATCTACCGCCTTACGAGAACGAATGAATATCTCGTCGGCACTCTTCTTCCTGTTTCTTTCGAACGCCGTCGTTTCCGGTTGTAATTTCGCTTCAAGTTCTCGCGCGAACTGTCTGCTTTTGCTTCGGAACTCGATGGCAGATTATTTTTCAAGGTTTCCTTCGGTATTTTTATCGCGAAATTGTTCGAATAACGGGTAACGCGCGACAAAGTATTATCGAAGAAAAATTAATCGACGTCGTGTAAAGTACGATAAAACGTTGCTATATTCGGTTTAAGTTGGCGACAAAGGGGGCCGTTTTCCTGTTTCCGTGAAAGGTACATTGCGGGGATTCCGGGGATAGGCGATATATCTCGTTCGTAATTCTGATACGATGTTCATTGCTGGTTACATAAACCGAATTCGATCCGAGACTTATTCTTTCGTGTAACAGCGTTATGTCGAGGTTGCTCGAGGTTTAAGGGAAAGAGGATCGAAACCTTTCGATTGTATAGCCGCTATATTAGCCGTATCTCCCGTGCACCTTGCATAAGAAGGTAGTTGGTTATCGATGATTGTCATCGTTATGTGGCAACTGCAGTGTAATTGAAACTGCTGGTAAGGTTGAAAATTCTATCGTTCTCGATTTCACGTTTTTCGCGTAGGCGCGCTACGATTCTACGCTCGAGTATTTACCTTCCAAGTACTTCGCTCTCGGTTAAGATTTTCGTGCACTCTCGACTTATCGTAGACACGTTAGCTTAATCGATTCCGTCAAGTTCTCCGGCAAGGAATCGAATTGACAGCATCCAGCGTTGCGAAACACGTAACAGGAAAGTGGTGATTTCGCCAGCGATTGCCGGAAATTCAGCGCGGACTGTCGATATAAATTGCATCGAGGACATACCGAAATGTTGTTAGCCGTCTGGTCGATTCCCACGAAGCACGAAATACGGAAGGCGTGGCAGCGTCTCGAAGGAACCGGAAGAGAAGGTCGTCGGGTGGCTTGCATTCGCGTCGCTTTCGAAAAAACAACTGGCGTTATGTCACGTTTAATATCGGCCGCATTTTCGCGTCGCGGCTTTTCTCGTCATCGTTAATTACCATTCGATTCGTTTCGTTTTACGTTCGTTCTCTTCTGTTAGGTGCACGAGTAAATAGTAATTAAAAGGGAAGCAATTTATGTCGCTGCGAATTGTTCGAACAATTCGCCGCGAGAAGCTTCGCTCTCGAGTTGCCATAGCGATATTGATCGTTTGAAATTTAGCCAACGGATCGTAGTCGTTCGAGGGTCTTGGAGTTCTCGAAATTTCACGATACCTTAACCTTAGTCGATTTGACTCGGTTGTTTCGAAACGGCGAGGTTTCGAGCTAGTCTTAGTCGCCGAGCGATTTACACTCGATTACACGTAAAATCGAGTCACGATTTTCGAGTCGTTCGTTCTACGCTTTAAAAGCGATCCAAGACACCGCTCTGTGGGAAACGCGTGTCATTTGGTTGATCGGTTTTGCGCGGCAACGGCCCGATCGAGACCTTCACTGGTCCACGATAGGACCGAGAGCGAGGTTTTAACACGCGGTAAATAGTTCGGTGTGGCAATTGTTTCTGTTATTATTGGAAAGTATTTTATTTTGTAGATTAATTTCGCTTTAACTGTATCGATAGACTGTACCGAGAAATTTTTATCGAGCAGAATTATAATCGGAAGTGTTTGCGGATTATATGTTTGCGGGCAGTCCTGTTTCGCCTAACGAACGCGCTGAAATTCCAAATATTTCGTAATCGAAAGGAGCAAGTATTTTAGGAGCTAGGTCGACTTGCTTATAATGAAATTCCTGCTGATCGCGCGAACCATCGGATCGGGAGGCTTAATTCGATCCCATAGGCTATAGGCCATAGACTTTCGAAACGCATCTGTCGCCTCGCGGGCGCCTCGCGGGCGCCTCGCGGGCGCCGATCTGTCAGCGTTCAAGGCCAGATTCTCCGTTTCCATGAATCCCAACTAATTTCTGAATAATCACGGCGATTAAGTATCGATGGCTTGTTCGATTATGGAACCTCGAGCAATTCGATATCGGTTGACTCGATCGGTCGTTCGCGATCCTTGAATCCGGATCGACAGAAAGATTCAAGCATTTCTTGCTTCGAAAAGTTGCATGCCTCCTTTTTCATCGTATTCGATTACACGCTGTTTGTGCGCTACCTCGCGCAAACCGTCTTACAGTCACGGTTTATTTGTTCGACGATTACGGACATTACCGCGATGATTATTGAAAACACAGTGTACTCGTCGTTATTGGTACGTTGCAGTAATTACCTCTATTAACCCTTTCAAGTGAGCGACGACTATATCGATCGAAATTTCTGGTTTATACGCTCTAAGTGTTTGCTCGCTTAGCACGCGCGTCTTGCGCTACCCGTTTATATCCTTTTTAATGTTCGAACTGTGATTAGTCATCGAATTATCTGTCAATTAAGAACCGCTCGAATATAGATCGTTGAAACAATTGGACCTCGTAACTTGAAATATACATAAATCGTTCGCGTAATATTCGTCCCCGTTGACGGAGGATCGAATCGGAGCATTTTCAGAACAGATAAATCACGATTTAAGATCGACGCGTTTCAGGAAGCTGCAATCCGACGCGGGACGCCGAGAAATCTTTCCCTGGATACGATCTCACCGTTGGTCTTTTCTTTTCCGCGAGTAGAGTTACACGTAAAACGGAAGTAGAACGCGTAACAAACCAGACAGTCGCGAGGCCGCGCGTTTCTTCGCGACGCGGCGCGACGCGGCGCGACGCGGC